TTCCTGCTATTATGAAGTAGTTGCGAGAAATAAAGAACGAACGGATAAAGTGTGCAAGAGACGTAGGTTTTGCTGTGCGAGCCTCAAAGGAAATCCAATTGCTCGCATTCCGGCCGGCAGCTTTAGCGATTCAAGAAGTGCACATCATCAGCAAAGAGCGGTGATAAAAAGCGGCAGACTAGCTCGGCGTTTACGTATTTCCTCTCGTGCAAGCCAGTCTAATCTTTTGAAGTCGCGGCGCGGTCGAGATAATTCGGAGGACGTGCACAACTGACTGAGACTATACACGGAGAGCCCGGATTTTTTTCCCCGCCTCTTTTAAGCTTTTAACCCTTTCGGCGTGTGTCGCTCGCTCGGCAAGAAAGTGTCACGCCGAGATGAAGAAGTGCCGCCTCTGTTTTCCTTCTTATTTCTCTCTCTTCGCTTTTTTTTTTTATTTCTCCTCGCCAGGTTGGAGAATGAGAGACGTGGTGAAAAATAAAAAAAAAGAGCTCTCCCAATTTGGTCGAGGGTTGCTACTTTTCTTAAGAAAAGTCCGTCGCTATTTTCGCGCCTCTGCTGACACAAACATCTCAGCAGCAGAGGAAAAAAAACGCAGCCATCAATCTTTTTGATGGGAATTTAACTTCGATCGTCGCGATGATGGAAAGGAAATGTGCAAATAAATCTTCTCGGTGAGAAAGGAATCAGGAAGAATTGATGTATTTCAAAGATATTGTGTGAATTAATTTCAGATGAAATCTACAAAAAACCCGTCAAGGAAAATTTCATCTTTAAATATAAAAATGTCATGGTAAAAAGTAAAAGAAATAAAACTCTTATTTATGATTACAATTTAAAATTATTCATTAGCTTGGAATTAATAAATCATTAATTGAATCATAGGATTTCTTCATTTTTGATTCATCATTTAGTTAATTTTAAAAATTTGTTTAATTGTATTAGCTGGTTTTTTCTTGTTGTAAAATGAATAATTTTTTTCCTGCTTGCTCGCTCAACAAATACAACACAGACAGATCCATTGGAAAAATTCTCGTCGCTGGCAAAATCTTTGGGGATTAGCCGAGCAAAAGCTTTTTGTCCGCGCGTCTCCTTAATGGAGTTTCGGTGCTACCGGCGAAACTAATTTGAATGCCTCTGTTATAAGCAGCAAAAGACGCGATTGGATTTTCAATTAAAAGGCAGGCAAACTTGATCCTTGCTGGCTTCAGGTAGGAACAAAAAAAAATAGATTGGAAATGCTTACAATTACGTACGTGAACAGATTTCCGAGAGCTCCAGGCACGCTGATAAATAATATCAGTGCGTTATTGAAGAATATAATTTATATTTGTGAAGCTTAATTATGTCAGAAAGTCTGAATATGTCTTAAACATAAGTAGATCTTCACTTAAATACTTTTCCTAGATTATCTTCACGTAATTTCTACTTTTTTTACATGTTGTTCTCCCAGCTTAATATCACAAATCAGGCTAGAAATTTTTATCAAACTATTTTGCCATAAAAATCAATAATTTTTACTCAAGCACTTCTGGAAATAAGTACTTAAAAGTATGATGTTTCATTATCTTAAATGTAGAAACATTGGTACAAAGAAAATTTATTGAATTTTAAATAAAACTTTTAAATTACTTTAAAAACAAATTATAAAACCAATAAAATAGTTAAAACAGTGTTATGTATTTAAAATAAATTTAAATTTTTTTTAAAATTTTAAATAGAAATAATGGATTGTTAATTTAATATTATATGTTTAATTTTATTAAATTTTGATAAACGTACTTTAAATTACGATTATAATTGTTACTGTTAAACTTAACCAAATTTTTTTAAGTTGGTAGTTCTTGGGGAAAACCCCTTTTTTTATTATTATTTTCTGTGTGACATTGTAAAAACCTTTAATATTGAATATTTAAACGACTGTGCTGGGACGATATTATCATTTTTCCGATCCCATCACGGCCATTATGAAAATCGCTGCACATTAGATTTGCAATTTTAATTAGGTCGGCCGGGGACATGAGGACGATAATCCCGTGGGCACGAAAGCTATGGAAACCCCTCTAGAAACTCGACACAATCCTTCTCTCTTGAACAAATCCCCGGCGTGGGTTGCAGCGCACTAAGTTGTTGCATAATTTAATAGGATGCGTGCGGCCATTGATCAAAAACCCGGTCTGGAAATAGAGAGCAAGGAGGAAAAAAATACACGCGGAAGGCAATTACATTAATGGCGTCGGAGCAATCCAAGAAGGTCCATTTCTTCTTCTTTGGTCCGCAGAGTGACGGACGATTGAAAAAAAAAATCAGATGAATAAAAGATGCGCCGCCGGCAACGTTCACGTGGAACAAACACACGAGTCGTGTTTTGCATAATGACTGTCTGTGTGCGAGTTACGTTTGACTCTCATTAGAAAAGCACTTGTTTCGCGCCGAGGCAGGTGCGGAGCGAGCGAGCGCGGTGATTAAAAGCGAGAAATCTCGTCTCTCGCGCCCGCCCAGATGTCACGTGCCAAAATTTTGATGCCGCGTGCCCTTCAAACAATTAATTCGCGACTAAAGACGACAGAATTTCCTTCCCTCTGTGGGCACAAATACAATTTCAAGTTTTCTATACATTGACGAATTCCAAATTGGTAACAGATTCCTAGATTCCTTTCAAAGCCAGGACGTTATATAATATTTTTTCCATATTTGAAAGAAACCACACCATGACATACAATCAATTTAAATTGTAAAGGACGAGACACGAAAAACTGTAAGAAATGCAATTTAAATGTTTTTTAATTTCAATTTCATCTATGATCTCTGTTTAATAAAAAAAAAATTCTAATTCCTAAAACCTCAAGATGATTTTAGTTATCTATGTATTAATAATTTATATGATGTCAGGTTATTTTTATTCATATTTGTTAATGAAAATTTTGTATTTAAATAAAACTGAAATTACTCTAATTTTTAATATAACTTTGTAAAGAATAAATTTTTTTGTAAATTTATGTCAATAATAATTTTAAATAGCAAAAACATTTAATTAAACAAATAAATTCTATTTTTTTCTAACAAAAGTTTTTTTTAATTTATTTTTAAATTTTATTATAATTACTACTTATGATTAAATTTAAAAGTAATAAAAAAGAGGTAAATCTTTTATGTTGTATTCGGGGCATTATTATTTTTTAATCTATCTAATTGAGTTCAGATAATTTTTATTTATATTGATATCAGCACAAAATAAACAATCTTTAACATGCACTGCATACCACTGGAAAAATTAACGTTGATCTGAACAGTCATTAAACCCTCGATAATTGTCCAAAAAAATTAGCCGGCCACAAATCAATCAATAATCAAACTCTTTTTTGAGATAGAATTTCCATATGGAGGGTTGATTCATGGTAATATGAATTAGAAATCGGCTTATCTTCGATGGATTTTGTGGTTTGCTTATTTTTTAAGTAAAAAATAATATTGTTAAGGACTCCTTATTGCAATGCTAAGAGTACCAAGGAGGTTTTTTTTGATCGCACATATGCCCAATGTTATTTTTTTGCCCCATGAACCCTCAAATTTTTTTCTGCTAATCTGTTTAGGGTCATTCGCTTATCATTTTGTGAAATTTTGAGCAAAAAATTTCGGGCAGTTTTTTTTTAATCACCAAAAACAAAAATTTCCATAAGACGCAATGTAAAAATTCAAAAAATCATATTTCAAGAATAATCGGCGCTACCCCCCATTTTTCTTTGTGCAATCAACTCTACTGATAGGTAGGAATCTATAAAAAAATCTGGGTCCAAAAATTTCGGGCCGATTTGCCGCAAACAGGAGTTGTAGATGTCAATAAGCAGGCCTTAAATAAGCAACTCACATAATCCGTTGAGGAAAATCCGATTTTAAATTTAAATTCCCTATAGCAAAATTCCTTTTCTTGACTGTTTTTTTTTCCATACTATGTGCTCTTAAAATGATATTTCTCAGCAAAACAGGAAAAAGATTAAATAATATAGCAACCACTGTTTTGTTGCTTGTTTTACATTAATTACAATAATTATGAACCAAACAAATTTTATATAAAGCAAAATTTTGGAGGAAACCTAAAAATGAAATCTAGTTTGCATTTTGCCATTGCTGATTTGCGATAATCCTTCAAAACAAGTGTATAATAATATATGGGAATTGCTAGAAAGTGATATTTTTATAGAAATAACTTGAATTTAAAATAAAAAAAGGTAAAGTACTTTGCTGTCCCACTTAGAAAAATTAATTTAAAGAATTGAAAAAATGTGAGGTTTGAACTTTCTTAATTCAGAAGATGAAAATTGTGCTTCCTGATGGGCCAATTTGCCATCGTGCAGCAAATCTCAGCGTGATGAGATTTTGTCGTTTTTCCTGCGTGCTCGGCGCACGCACTGAACAAAATTAGCCTGGCGGTGTGCAACATGAACGCGCGTCGTCAGCGTGTCAAAACGTCTTCTTATCATCGCGCGAGAGTGAAGTGCGTGCGGCGCCGTAAAAAGCGATGATCGTCGCGCTGTAAATTTGCAGCGCGACGACAACAGAGCAGCCGAAAACTCGTCACTCGCATTTGCTTTCGTTAGCGCGGCTGACAAAATAGCTCTGCATGCTTTTTTACGGCGCTTTTTATTAGGCGTCTGGGGAGGGCACGGCACATTATTCATGTGCCGGCTTCTAATTTCATCACACTAGTAGCTTGGCAAAAAAAGTCAACCGGTTCAAATTACGCTCCTCTGATTACAAATTTATAGTAAAAAACAAAAATTATCTACGCTTCAAATTAAGATTTAATTTGTAAATTTTTAGTATTTGCACTAAAAATTCGACAAAAATCCTAAATTTTACAGGGAGAATTCAATTTAATTTTATATGAGTGCAAATTATCATAAGGAAAGAATTGTTATCGTAATTTCTAAATTGTTTACCAAAGTTGTTAAAGTTTTTTGCTTTAAGAGTGATAAAATTACAAAATTTATGGTTCTTACCGGCCTTTGTGGTTAATTTTGGTGATTTCGCTGATGGGAAAATGCGCCTTGCTCTTGCACTCGGCTTGGAGAACGTGGTGTGCCCTCTCGATGGTGAGAAGCCCTTCCTCGCTTGCCACTGACTGAAGTGAACGAGCCGAGTCGAGGGTACGAAGACTCGCCACCGCCGCCGCGCCTGACATGCGCGCCTCACCCACCTGTCAACAACTCCCAACTTTTGAAGGGCACACAAAATTTAATCACGATTCTTTTAAGCATGTTTGCTCTAATTTTTCACATTTAAATTCGATTTTTGAGACTCATAAAGATACATTTTTAAAGGCAATTAAAAATTAATTTCTTTTTTTTTTTAAATAAAAATTGTGGAATGTTCTATACAGCCAAGATTTTTTTGCAAACTTTCAGTAAAACCGCGTAAAAAACCTCTAAAAATATAAACTTTGACATTGCGCATTACACTTGACAACTCATGCAAAGACTACTCTTCACTTATTAGAACAGAAAAACACTAACAACAATTTTCAGTATTAATCGGTATGATAAACATTTGATGGAAAAACGTTGATGAGGAAGAAACAAATTAAATATTATTATTATTGACCTATGTTTATGGCGTGGCACTGCTATTATTTATAAAGTTATAAATGCACTAGGCAATGTGGTTGTGGTTGATAGAAACAAATTAACAGGATACAAAATCACATTATGGCTGCAAAAATCCAACTCTCCTCGCATGAAAGAAGAAAGTGTGCAAATTGAATTAACAAATTATAAAATACTACTAAATTATTGATTGTTCTGACTTAATTGTTTGGAGAAAAATAAATTGAATTGAATTGAATAAATTATATAATTTATACATTACAAATATTGCTATGGTTATTTGTCCACAATAATAAATATTTTATCAAATTTTTATATAAATAAAAATATGTCAAACATAATCATTGATCACTGCCACAGATTTGGAAGAATTTGCAGGCAGTTTTCTGCAGTTTCCATATCAGACATTCCAGTCAAATGCCGGCATAGTTCCCATTCATAGGCCGCAGCCGCTCACCTTCCTCAACCTTGAAATCCCAACAAACAAACCTATTCTCCCTTGACCCCCCCCCTCAAGTGGGTCCAAAGGTCACCGTCTGATCGCCCCCATCAGATTTAGCAGGCCTGCGACTGCTACTGCTTTCCTGAGAGAGGGAAATCGACAACTAACAAAAAAATCATCTAAATCATGAAAATTAGTTCAAGCAATTAAAACATCAGACAACGAAAATTTTTGATTGGAATTACGCCCAACCTCAAGTATGTGAAATTAGCAAAAATATATAATATTACACGCAAACACTTGTTACATCGGTCACATAAAATATACCAGAACTAATTTCATAAATTATTTATTTATTCCTCATTTTACAGTTCTTGCAAATCATTCTAGTTTTTTATTTACATCTGCATCTGCAGTCCTAATAACATATTTTTGTTTCAAGAATCAAACTGAATACAGAATTTGATAAAATGAGTTTATGTTACTTATGTATGTGGGTTGTGAAAATTATATATATCTCTTAATCGCAAAGTAAAATATTTTCTATTATAACATCTAAAGTAAATATTTAATTATAAATCAAATTTTATACAAATTTGTTAAATAAGCTAAATATAAAAATAAATGAAATGAATAATTCTTTAAAATTTAATCAATAAATATTAATATTAACATTTTTGGTATAAAATTTTATTATTTAATGTAAATAAGTATTTATTTTACGTTTTTTTGTCCTGCAATGGTCGCAGCCGGTTCACTCTCCTTTAGCAGAGAATGTGCTGTGAATTTTTTTTTTTGTAATAATTTGGACAAAAATAATATTCTTGTCCATAACGCGGTATCTATGATAATGTATTTTATTTTGCGCAACCAGAATTATAATGAAATTTCCAAATCGTATCAACTGTGAGAAAAATAAATAATAAAAAATTGCTTGACTTGTGAAAAAACTATTATATTTAAATTTTAATCACAAATACAAAATAAAAAATCCTCCAACTTTTTAAATAAAGTGCCATCTTTATATTCAGAGAGGCGTTTTATTTCACAACACCATTGCTACTTTACTTGTTTCGCATTTCAAAGCAACAATTCCGTCGACTCGAAGAGAGGAAACTCATAGCTCTCCGCATTCTCATATTTCTGTTACTCAAACACAAAGAAAATCTAAATAAATCCGCGGTGATAGTTGGGGGAGTTCATCAGTGCAACAGTGATATTGAAATTCTTCTGCTCCAGTTGTCGTTTCGCGATGAAACTCGGATCTCTCTCATCTTTCTGCGATTTCGCTCTCTTTCGAATCAACAGTCGGCGCTTCCACCCCCAATAAATCTCAATCGCAAATATACTCATCGGTGGCGGCGGCGGCGAAATGACGAACGATGAGCAGCTCGTCGTTTTCAGATTTTGCAACCCGAGCCGCGGCAAAGGTGTTCAGTTTCCTCGCAGCTCCGACGTGGAAATAAATATATTCCTCCGCGCACGTGTTTTAGTTAACATTTAATACGAGGCTGCGCGCGAATGTGTCATGTGAGCCGGGGCAGTGAAATTTTATTGCGTGAAATCAAAACCTGCTTCACCGAAAAAAGGCGCTTTAATTAAACGGAATCTCAAAAGGCGTTAATATAACAGAGAGAAAAATTGACTGTGGCCAAAGATAATTTTTATTTTGTATTTCAAATTTTTTTATAAATGTTCCAAATTTTGAAATTTTCTATGTATTGCTGGGATTGTTTGAAACAATTTAAAAAAATTAGTTCTGGAGGTTTTAAAACTGTGGCAAAAAAACTTTGTTAATAGGATAAGAAATACTTTTTATTGAAAATGCAAAGACAGACACATAATATAATATAATATTAATGGTTTTTATTACTTTTGTTCCAATTTTTATTAATTATTTATACATAAATCAATTGTTTAAATTTGTTTGTTTTTTGTAAGCATTATTTTTGAAAGAAATAATTACGAACAAAACTTTTTAATTCAAAATCATTGGCCAGATGAAATGAATATTTCAAAATGACTCATCATTTCATTCAAAACTTATAAAAATATTTATTTAAATCACAAAAAAATTTAAAATGCTGAATTATTTAGAATTAATTTTTGTCAATTATGCGTTTTTTTCTGTAGACAAATCGAATTTTTCACCTTTCACCTCCGAAATTGATTAACCTTTTCGTTCTGATTGATTAATAAATTTTTTCAAATTTGCTTTGGGCATCACTTTGAATTGCCAATCGGGCCATATTTCACTTCCCCGATTTGATGGCGCGGCATTTGCATTGGCAGAGAAGAGAAATGTGATGAAACTTGAGATGCGCATCATTAGCAAGTCGAATTCATGTCTCTTTTCGTGGCACCTGCAGGCCCTGCAGCTGCAGACGGAAATTGAATCACGTCAATTTGGCTGACAAGTTACGAGAGGGATCCCATTAATCAAGTCAAATTATTGGAATATTTTTGTACATATTCAATCTCAATTCTCCACTTTTTAATCGCTGAAATTCACTCACGTGGCGAACCAAAGTTTTTGCATAATCAGATGCGGAAGTTCTTCTTGTCGATTGGATTTTTTTTCATCTGCCGCCGCGCTATATCTTTTATAGTGCGAAATCCTCTTTGAAAGGAAGATTGATGCCGGCCCGGTGTGCGCCGAGGAATGTGCTCGCAATGCTAGAGAGAGAGAGAGTCAAACTTTTCTCGTACATGGACCAGGCAGCGCCCAAATCAATCAATCAACTTTGCGAAATTCACTTTATTGAGATTTCTCATCTTTGCGTCGTGTCTTCTTTATTGGAACGCCAATATCAAGAGATGACACGATGAATTCCACTTTTCGTTGAATTTACTAAAACTTCAAAAGTAAGCACAGGAATCAATTAACGAAATTGCTTTTCTACTGAAATAAATTGTGAAGTTTGGTATTATTTTATGTAACTTAGAACTTAAATGGTGGAAAATAAAAAATTGTTATTATTCAACTATGAAAAAAGAGAAAATATAGAGGAAAATAGGATAAATCGTTTTTTTAGTTAGGTGTACAAGGTGGTGAAACTTAATTTATAATTAGATTTACTGCCTGTATTTTGGAGATTTTATTTCAAAATCAGCAATTAAATTTGTTTTGTAATAAAACTCTTGCAAAATATTCTACACGGGCAGCGAATTTCAAATTTAATTAAGAGAGCCGTGAGGTGCAAATTCAAATTAGCCAATTAACATGATTTATTTAATAATTTTAATATCCATGCTTTGGGTGGTTTTGGCTATTGAAGTATTCTCTCAGGGTTGCTGCGAAATAAATTTTGACCTGTATATTTTGCTAAAATTTGGTACCAGTTGGAGTTTGCAGGTCAAATAAAGTTTGAGATTTCAGTTGAATTTAAGCATTAATTAGTTATCAAATTAAAATATAAAAAGTCTTGTGGAAATTTTTTGTTTTCGTGTGGAAAGAATAAAATAATAATCAATTCAGCAACCTGCTCTACTCTGATGTTCTGCAAGTTGCATAATATCATAATTATACGTAAAAATTCGGTCTTTCATATTGAATATTTATTGAAAGTGGAAAAGTATCAAAAATTTTAAACAATTTCTTAAATTTTTATAACATTAAGAGCAAAAGTGGAAATAATTCCATTTGGCTAAATTTTCCTCAGGCTCTGGGTCGGTAGTGTCGGCACTGGGGGAAAACAAGCTCCTGCATGGAAAACTGTTTGGCGCGTCACGGCTACAAATATACATAATAGAGGGTGTGTTTTATTTTTATTTTTTGCGCCGCAAATAATGAAAGGCAGGAATGCGTGAGTCCCCGCTGAATACCAACGGGCTCGGCGCTCGTGCAGTCGTTGCCGCGAATTCCCCTGCATATTGGCGGCAGAGGCGCGCGTCGCCTCTCAATCTCTCTTTATATTCCAGGCAGTATTACAAGCGCCGCCGCCAACCAGTCGATATTTTCGACAGTCTATTTCATAATCAACACACTCGTTTTTTTTACAAGAATAAAAAATAAAGCGTTGTTGAGTGATAAAAAATTGGTGCAAAATGCATACAGATTTTTAAATTACTCGGAAAGAAGTACTTTTTTTTTAATGAGGATCTAAATTTTTGAGCGTCGCATTAAGACGGGAAAATAAAGCTGTGCGCTGGAAAGAAGAAGGGAAAAGTGAGAATGGGCCATTCAGTCGTGCGGTTTTTCGCGCTGCTGTCAACTTCTTAGTCTTCTTATTATTTTACCTCCCCAAGCAGCACTCACAGCAGCTCTTGAATTCGCATTCCCAGATGAGAATAAAGAAGACGCTGCGTGGAATGCAAAAATATAAATTAGAGGGAGGCAAGAAGGAGATCTTAAAAGTTTTCCAGCAAAATACTTTCTTTCGCAGAGATGAAAATGATGCACAATTAGCAAGTTGGGTTGAGGATTTTACGGATTTTACTACAGATTTCAATGAAAAGTAAAAATTGATTGCAAATAATATTTTAATGATGAAAACTTAAGTGTTTTGCATGATCAGTTTTATCAACTTGATTTAAAACAAATTGCCAATATTCAATAAAACAATAATCCTGAAATAAACCATAGATAGGTTAAAATTTAAACCTAGCTGAAATTAGAATATCCTCTGATATTGATTCATAAGGTAAGATTAAATAAAGATTATTAAATTATGCTAAATGATTTTTTTTTTAATATTTTAATGTTCAATAGTTTGTTGTCTCTCTTTAATCTTAGAAAATTACGAAGAAAAATAAATAGAGCAAGATTAGGAATGTATTACGTGTTGTATTTGTTCATTTGAGACTTTCTTTATTTTTTTTTTAACGAATGATTCCATAATCCTTCTATAATAGATTTGAGACTATTTTTCAAAATATAAATTTTTCCCAATCAGTTCTAGGAAAAAAATTGAATGCTGAACGCTGCAATTGTTGTCAAAATTTGCATACTTTTAAAAATTGCATTGCTTCTCATTTACATTAAATCTAATTGTGTTCCATACGAGAATTACAATGGATAATAATTAGCAATTAAAATTAAATTATTGTGATCTCAATAAGATGAGAAATTAGTAAGTTGCATAGTAAAGATAAATAAATGCTAAAGATTAACAGGATAAAGAAAAAAATTTTATTTTCAAATTAAATCATAACTAATTTAGATGATTAGCCAAGGTCGCTGTCATCTCCAAAATCAATTAACACCAGCTCCTGGCTATAGTGTACACAAAGTTTTCAACAGCATTGAGTGCTTCCATTGGCGATTTCCGTATCATTTGCAAGAAGGAAGGATGAGCACCAAAATACTCCATCCTTTGAAGTCGGGGAGCGTGGACTGGCAGCAGCAGGAGAAATTGGAGCAAATCGGCAGGATGCTCAAGGTGGGAGCCAAACTGGAACTCCCTGAGTTTCTGCAGAATCTTCCCCTCGATCAAAGGTCGGTGCAATCGAGTGCAAACCTCAGGGGTCATGGTGAAACTTTCCTTCATTGTGAAACGCTCAAGAAGTGGAGCTGTCAGGACGAGGGCCATCAATCGAGAGGCGTAGGTGTAGCTGAGCCTCCAGTTCAAGGAGAACTCCTTCAGGCTTCGGAAGTGACTGGCGTCCAGTTGGTCGTTGAATGGCTTTGACTCATGGAAGGGATCATGCAAATAGTAACCCAGCTTGTGCAGGCGTGGGCAGAGCAGGAAAATGTCACACACGTCCATCGTGTCTTCCCCTTCACAAATGTTCAGTTCAAGCTCCTCCAACTGCTTGCCACAGAGAGTCAAAATGTGGTAAATGAGATTTCCCCTGTCATCACTCACATCCAAAACTCTCAGGTTGGTCAAGAAGACACAGAAGGCTGGGTTTCCAATTATTCCATCAGTAAACTTGACATTTGTCAAGTTAGGTGTGTGACGGAAGTCGAAAAAATGGTTAGTAGTTATGCGCTCGAGTGGATGGGGCTGTCCTGGATCTTCGGTAAAGAGCGCATCACCACTTTGGGCGTAAACAAAGTAATCAGGATGAAAATTGTAGATACGCAGTCGAGGGAACCTCTTGACATACTCCAGTCCAAAATTTCTCCAGTAGAGCTCTTGCATTGTTTGGTCCTCCTTATTAAAAGAAAAAATAAATTTAAATAAATAGCAAGCGTGCCAAAGATTATAAAAATATAAACTAACCTCACTCAAATTCCTATAACCAAAGTGAATTTTCAGTACTTCCAATCTCTGCAGATGAAATAAGTTGTCAAACAAGAAGGGAGAGACGATGCTCAGGGACACTCCAAGGGTGATCAAATTCGGGAAGTGCTGAGCGACCCATGCCATGTCTTCTTCATCACACCCGTACTGCTCAAGGATCATGTGCTGGAGATTGGGCAACTGGAGCAGGAAGTACTTGACATCTTGAAGCTTGAATTTGCCCACTCCTTTCTCCACTCCGTCAGGCTGCCATGAACCTGGTTCAGCATGCTTTCGGGAGTCGGAAATTTGCTCCAAGTTCGGACACTTCCTGACGAGCAGCTTCCACATGTCCAGATCACGCTGCTTGTCCGACTTGTGGTGGGTGGAAAAGACAACAAAGTCGAACTTCTTTGTCGAAGCGTCCAACAGGCTGTAAAGCATTCCAAAAATCAAGTCTTTGACTGCAGGCATGGTGAGCTTCTTCTCCATTTCAACACCCTTGGCATGCATGCGATCCAAGATTTCCAACTTCAAACATGAAGCTGAAGACAAAATTTAAGCTAGAATTGCAAGAAAAACAACTGAAAAGCACTTACGCAAGTGCAGCATCAGAGGTGACGATTCGATGCGGACGTCGTAGCTGACGATTTTCCGCATGGCCAATTCCCTCAGAGGCAAAAAGTTTTGAATTCTCGACCTCTTCGCTTTGGCAATGGCCAATGCATCGCGAAGCGTCGCAAACGTGACCAAATCGCTGCAAAATAGTGGATAAAATTAATTAAAAAAATAAAACTGATCTTCTCAAGGCGCAAATTCATGCATGGCGAGAATAAACCACAGAAAATTTGAAATTTGAAGCTCACCTAGTTGGATCCTCCATTGCGAATTGGAGCCGCAACGGATTTGCAAAGAATTTTGGCGATTTCAAATTCAAGAATGCGAGAAGAAAACGCAACAATGAGGTATCCGCGGATGCTTTTCTGCTTACTTTTATGTACTTGCACGCCTTTGTTTTCGTTTGTTTACGTTTAATTGTCAGCAGCGGCACCAAGCGGCGCTGAGCTTCCCTCTCCCTTCAAATTTGCGACTCTTCCCCTCTTCCCCTCAATTGCTTCGACTTATTGCCCCTATATGCGCTGTGAGAATTATGTGTATTGTTCTTTTTCTTTTCTCATTTCCTTAAAATCTTGAAAGTTAATAATCTATTTTATTTATTTCACAAGTTTTGACCTGAATTATTAAAATAAATATCTCTACCTGGAAAGTGTCAATTAATTCTTCTAAAATAAAACAAGAAAAAAAATAATGTAAATGACTGAAATTACAGATATATAATAACAAAAAATTTAATGTGAAGAAACTTACACATTATAATGACGAAATCAGCCGTGACGAGTGCGAACGACGCGCACGCCGGGTGCAATAAAACCAATAATGCACCATCAATGAAAACGCCGTCGCCGCCGCCACCAACGCGAAAATAAAACATGCACGGCAGGTAGAAATTTCACCCTCCTTCCCCTGAGTAATAAAGCAAACTATTCCACTTTTAAATTTCCAAATCAGTTTTGTTTTGTCTTCCGACGAGAAAAGAGGTACGAAATTTTTCACACACATTTCACAATTTTGTCAGTTTTGTTGATTTGCTTCTTCTTCTTTAAAATTCTTTAAAATTCAATTCAACCAAATATTCTATATTTTAAAATTAAGGAGAAAAATATTGTAATTTACTCAAATAAAATTTTTTGAATATATAATTTGCACGTTAATTTATCAAAATGTAATGAAAATTGGTTAAATGTCGACTTATTTAATTTAAACAGCTCATTAATTAGGGTTGCAACCCGCAACCGAAACTAGTAGAGCAGGGATTTTCGGTACCATTTGCAGAAACAATAAAGTTGCTCATCTTCACTGAGGAAGCCAGATTTTATTTCAACAAAAATAAAAAAATAAATTAAATAACACATTTAAATTCATTTAAAATATAAAGTCAAAGAAAACAAAATAAATATGTAATAAAATATATATTTATTTCAACCGAAATTCGATTTAATTAGTGTCCATTAAAATTCGCACTCGTCTTTCCTGCGCTTCACCCCCAGCAAGGATTTACTCTCTCTTTCTGTCTATGTATGTACTCGGCTGCCGATAAATCAGACAAATAAAAAAAGCCAGACGTGAAAATATCATTTAATTTTTTTTTTTTTTTTTGCACGCATCTGCCGAGCACCGAATTATTGTGCACGTCTGCTCCGCGGGGAGGGGGAGGTATTTTGTGCTTGCTAAAAAATAATTAAACTATATTTATTGACCAAAAGAGATCAGTTTTTGGCCAGCGGTCAATGACTCTCCTCGCGGAGCATTTTATAACTTGACAAGACGTCCTCCCAGATCAATTTCGCGTGAGAGCTTGAGCGATTGAAAGAGTGTTTCCGGAGATAAATCAACTCACTGTTGTTTTTTTGCGAGCCGCAAGCGAGTGTGAGACAGTGTAATGCAAGATAAATAGCGCAAGTGCGCAGTGCACTCGCTGCTGCATCCGTCGATAAAAAAAAATGTTGCAACTTTTATCTCGAGCTATTGACCGCCTATTATTCTTTTGAATATATATGAGATTTTAATAAATGTCATGAAAAAAAAGAGTTTCATCGTTAAGAAGGCTGAACAGTTGAACACCTTTTCACAAAGAAATAATTTTTTCAGTAACTGAATCTTATTTAAATGAATTATTTTATTATTATTTGCAGGTATTTGAGGTAATTCTTAACGTTGAATTAACCAATTAGGTGGTGCATACATTTTTAAATATTCTGTCATTAAATAGTTAATATTAAATAATAAAAGTTCTTATCCGTCAATGAATTGGCAAGTTTGAATAATGAGAAAAAGTGTCAACGCCGCATCGCCTCATCGTCATCGCCTTCCTTCTCCCCCTCCGCCTCCACCACAGCTAGTGGCTTACAAAGTATGCTATCCAATGATCCAACCCTTTGCCCCTCTATTTGCATTTATATATCATCTTATGACATTTATGCGTGTTTTTTTTTTTAATTGTGCGCGGATCCGAATTGTCTTCTTGCTAGTCTGCCAGCCACATCTGCAACGCATCTTTGTGGAGACGCTTCACTCTCTGCCGAAAACTGCTGACGACAACGATGACAACAACAATAATTAAAGTGAGTTATTTTAATTTCTTTTAGACTTTTAAAAAAAAGACTCGAAAAGTTTAAAAAAATTAACCTTTTGCTGAAATTATTATTTTTTTTTTTATAACAATTTTCTACATTTTTGAATAAGGGATTTGATAAAGATCAATATATTTTTTCATTCAATTAATGAATGGTTTTTATTGTAAAAACGGCAAGAGACCGACCCAATAGCGTAATGTAATAAGCTCACGGGTGCCATAAGCAAAAAAAAAGGATATTAAATTAATTTTATACTGTGCACAATTTAATTTCACAATCTATTTGTAGAATGCGAGACGCGCTGCAGTGGTACACGAGAAGAACTTCTCGAGGGATCACCTTCTAAATCAAAGAGTTGTGCCAACCAAAGCTACCATCCGGCTGACGAAGACGACGTCGAAGCCAAGAAGGCCCTCGTCAAAATCAACGACTCGAATTCTTCTGATTCTGAAGCATTCTCTGGGTGGTGGCGTTTGAAATTACAAGAGTGCTGCTTAGGTAAAAGAGAAAAGCGCCAAAAAGAGAACAAGAAAAATATCGGAACATTATTAAAATGAGCACCGAGTCTGCCGCAGAGCGCATCCAGACCGGCGCAAAACGAGGCCAACCTTCTAAGGTTCATTTACTGGAAAATGCAGTACAGGATCTGAAGGAAACCAACGAGATGAATAAAGCGGTCCACACTAAACTTTATTCGACCTTCCAACCTTTGACCAAAAGAGTAGTTAAACTGAAAATGCTGAGTTGTCAATTGAATCTCGCATGCGAGACGCGAAAGAGAAACTGTCTGGCGTAAAAAATATAAACACCACCATCGGCTCCTGCACAGTCGACGATTGCACATACGGTGAGCACCACCGCTGGCGCTTCTGCCCAAGCGGCCGTCAACTTTGGCGCCGGTCATTAAAAAAGTCAGGCATTCCTCCTAAATAATCGCAAACAGTAATAATTTTACTCAAAATTACAAATCCCAACTGTCATACCTTGTTCAATTTATTTCTATTCTTTGGTATTAAGGTTTTCCATTGTTATAATAATGATAATTTATTTATTTTTATATTGTAATTGATCATTGTTTCCCATTTGGTAACATTGAAAATTTAGAATTTAGAGCAAAATGAAGAACAAATTTGCCAAATTCATTAATACAGAAATTGATATTATTTAAAAATTAATATGGTATTACTGAAAATAAATATTTTCTTTACTAACACACAAATAAAGAAATATATATTAAATTTTACCATAAACAAGAAATTTGGTAATATCAACAAGTTTTTGCTCTTGCCTGATTAAACGTGGACATCATTGTTCTTTTGTCCGCGTTCTGTGGAAGCATCGCCAGTTTATCGGCGGCAATTCCAGTGAATTCTGCCATTATAACCATGTTGTTAGCGGTGGAGGTTATTTATTTATTTATTTGACGGACCCGGGTCAGCGCTGCGTCCATAATTATGTTGAGAAACGCGACCGGCGCCAAAGTTGACGCCTGCTTGGGCAGAAGCGCCAGCGGTGGTGCTCATGGTGTGTGCAATCGTCGACTGTGCAGGAGCCGATGGTGGTGTTTATATTTTTTACGCCAGACAGTTTCTCTTTCGCGTCTCGCATGCGAGATTCATTTGACAACATTTGCATTTCCATTTTCACTATGTAATCTTTGGTCAAAGTTTGGAAGGTCGAATAAAGTTTAGTGTGCACAGCTTTATTCATCTCGTTGGTTTCCTTCAGCTCCTCTACCGCATTTTCTAAAATGTGCACCTTAGATGGTCTGCCTCGTTTTGCGCCGGTCTGGATGCGCTCAGCGGCAGGCTCGGTGCTCATTTATAAAAATTTTCCTCTATTTTTCTTGTTCCCTTTTTGGCGCAATCCTCTTCTGAGCAGCTCTCTTGTATTTTCGAACGACGCCACCGTACGCCTCATTTTATCGCACCGAACGTAAAAATCACAGATTGTAAACTGTTTTGGTGAAAAACAGTCGCAATTAGCACTGTAAATACCAAGCGGATTTTCAAGAGAGACAATATCGAGTCGTACTCTCTTTCAGCCACTCTATACCGATTCCCTACTATGATGTTCTTTAACAATATTCTAGTGACATTTATTAAATAATGAGTTTGTGTTGAAAACTTGAAATTTTGCCACTTTCCGCAATCAAGCAATTCATCGAAAATTAAAAAGTGAATTTTTTTGCAACTCGATCACGCATTGATCAAATCCTTTCCTGAGAAGTCCTGTAATTACATGTAAACTACAGCTTCCAAGGGTTTTTTTAAGTGGCAGGAATAACTTGAAGTTTTGTTACATTATGTTCTGCAAACAAGGCGTAGCAAAAATTAAAAATTGAATTTTCTGCGACTTACGCTTTATATGACCAAATCCATTTCTGAGAAGTCTTATAATGTTATAAACTGCAGCTTCAGAGAGTTTTTTAAGTGAAATGAAGTACTTGAAATGTTTGTTTGTGTATAGAAAAAAACTTAAATTTATTCATTTTCCTCTATTAGTTGGGAGGCAACAAAATTCAGTTGCAAATTGCAAATTGTGTTTATTGATGTATCATATCTGCCGAAATAATCATCCTTCCATTGAATTTATTACACAAAATATGAATAATTATTATGGAGCGACTATCAGAGAAGAGAGCGCTGAGAAGAACACCATGAAAGCGTGTATTGAATAAAAATCTTTTGTCATAGCTATCCAGATCATATCATTTTAATGACAAATATAATAAATGACACACAATTTCGAATATCAAGAAAAAAAATTTAATGGACGTTTTATTTTAAACAAAAATTAAAATGATTTTATTAAAGTTCATTTAAATTTTTTTTAATTTATGTATCTTTATTGTTCTAGATGATAAGAACTGAATAAAATTATTTTAATTACGTAAGTAGCAAAATATAAACTTTAATATTTCAAAATTAATTAATAAATAAGGCGTAATTTTTTTATTAAACACTTTTTGTTTTATTTTCTGGCATTTGCAGAGATATTTTCGAGCATGGACTTGGAGACAGCTGCTGCGACTCGCTTAACGAAATTTACAACTTAATTTCGTATTCGAATGCACGCTTAAGCGAATAAAACTTCTGTCGCCGCGTTTCGAGTAACTCGATTTAACGTCGCCGCGCCAGTGTAAATACCACACCACTGAATATACATACTACACACACCTCCCGCGCTCTCTGCGGCAAGTTTTTATAGCGCCGAAAGTAAGTCTCCGCCACTGGATTTAAACATGCTCCCTCACGATTTGCATAAAACAAGAATTGGGAGTTATAAAATGTTTTGAATTTGCATCAGCAACGTGAACAACCTACTATCAGCTTTGGGTTGTGATTTATTCAAAATAAAACACTGACGAAGAACAATTCCTTCAAGAAAATATATCATAGAGAAGTTTTATTATTAAGATGCTTAAAAATAATATCAAGCGAAAATTTTGCAGAATTGACTTTAATTGGTGTCTTTTTTTAGAAGGTAGGTTTTCATAAATTTTATTTAAAATACCGCCACGCAATTGATCTAACATAGCATATATTTATTTTTTACATCAAATATATAAATTTCTCGAAATTATCTGAAAGAAGTTTTTACTGTTTTTGTTAAAAGTGTCCAAATCAATCACTTATTTCTGTAAAAACAATACCACTATTTAAAAGCAAATAAGAGAAAGGCAATTAAACCAACCTTCAGGTCTGTCACGGAAGGAATTTCGCCTGTCTGTTAAAAATCCACTTAATTAAAGAAAGGACCGTGGCTGGAAATTACTTGTTTTCAACCAAAAGACAAGAAGCAGGAGAAATGCGTGATAGAATGGAATGAGCATCTCTTCGCAACAGAAAAGGAAAAGATGTTCTCTTGCGGCGTCTTTCATCATAATGAAAATAAAGCAGACATCCTGCATGAACTTCAAAGAAAAGGGTTAATACGCCTGACAATGAGTTACAGTACGATGAAGAGGGATGATTAAAAAAAAAATGATACAAAAGACGGATTTTGTTCTTTTGTGTTCAAATTAAAATTTATTTTCTTTTAAGTCCAGCTTTTTAATTAAAAAATGGTACTTTAGCGCACTTTGCGGTTCAGTAAAATTAATTATTATAGGATTCACAAAGCATAAATACTTCATAAACGTTTAAGGAAAAGAAAATTGAGAAAACTTATTTTCCTAAATACACATTTTAAATCAAAATATTTAGGGTGGGTCCGAATATTAGAGAAACGATTCTAGAAAAACGATTCTTGAGAAACGTTTCTCGAGAAAAGATTCTCGCGCAAGGATTCTCAAGGAACGATTCTTTAGTTGAGTTTTAAAGGCAGAAACGATCCTGGAGAATCTTTGCGCGAGAATCTTTTCTCGAGAAACGTTTCTCAATAATCGTTTCTAGAATCGTTTCTCTGATATTCGGACCCACCCTTAGACTTCTTTCAATAACCAACGAGATTAAATTTATGCTGTGTAAGAATAAAAAACTTATAAAAAGAAGTGCAATTATTTGAATTCGAATAAAAAAAGGGTGATTTTAAATAACAAAGATACTAAATTTGTCTTATATTTTATTTTTCAAAATAATTCACAGAGATTATTTACATAGCATAACAAGTACAAAATAATAACGAGTATAAATGGATGGACAATGGGATTTCTTCAAAAACGACCATTTCAATTGTGATGCGGACTATGTACACGGTTGAGGTGAAGAAAAACGAGTGAATTAGTGCAATTAATTAACATTAAATCTCGCCCACTTTGTGAGAGAAGTCCTGCCGAATTCTAAAAAAAGGGCGCGCTTGAAAATCTTTTGAGGACGGGACGAAAAAAGGGCTTTTGAGGAAAAAAATTGAAGTTTACTCTCACCGTGCAAAGTTTGTATGAGCAAAACGATTTCCCTCTCAGAGGGCACGACGACGTGTATATTACAAAATGTGAAAGGGGTGAGGCTCTTGAGGGGCTAATCGACCTCGAGGCGTCTGAAGCTGCCGGGCAGGCTGTTGATGGTGGACTTGAGGGACGAGTCGCCGCTGCCGGATTTGCGATTGCGTTGCGGCTTGTAGACGCACGTGAGGGACATTTTGTCCAGGGCCATCAGCCGCTCGCGTTTTCCTTTCAGCTCGCGCATCCACGCATCTGTGAAATCATCAAGAGCTATTTTAGATGGTGCGCGCCTAATGGTGCACGAGAATCTCCACGCATCGAATTTTTCGCCAAGAACCTTAATGCACTTTAACCGCTCTTAAGTGCTACTTAAATGGCGCTGGAAAATCAATTTTCCGTTACATCTCTTAGCGAAGTCAGGGTGTGGTCTTTTCTAGTACCAAATTGAGAAGAACATTTCCATGACAAGATAATAAATTTTCATTCAAAATAGGGAAAATATAGGAAATTTTAATTGCATTTTGTATTAAATTTTCGATTCTCTATGAGAAAATAAATTTAAATTAATTAAAATTTCAAATTTGAATTAGAAATCCCAATAATATCTAAAGGGAATTAATTTATTATAAAATAAATTTAATTTAAAGCAAACAGCATGTTCGATTTGTCATTTTTTATAATTTCGATTATTAAATAATGTGAAAAAATCTGTTTTCTGCGTAAGAGGGAATTGAGATTTTCTTTAAAAAGTTTTGCTCTCTCAACTTAAGAAACCGTTCATAGAAAAATAATACAAAAATTAGCAATTAAAACTTGAAAGAAATTTGTTTGATACAAATTTTTTAATGTAAAAGAAACATAAAATATTCCTCAATTTAAAAGTATACAAGGAGAAGAAAACGCTGAAAAGGCACGTAATTTGCGGAAACGTGAGTGGGGCGAATTTCAGTTTCGCTTTGAGTCTTTCTCTCTCTCACTCCTTGGCACGTAAATAAATTTGGTGCACCTTCTCGCAGCTGCCAAGAGCAAACTCTCGTTTCTTTCTGCCTGCCTAACAAGAAAAGTACTTTTTGCCGTAGGTCCATAATGGCACCTCTCTTTGATCTTGGCACCAAACAAGAATGCGCGCGCGTTCCAGTCGACGCAAGAATTTTGCTCGCAAAAACCTCATTTAAAAGTTTGCTTAAAATGTTGCTTGCAGTGAAAGGAGAAGTGCGAAATAAACGTCTTTTGAGACGCAAAATAAGTATTCATAACTTATTTTCAAATTTATTAAAATTATATATGAAGAAATCAGGCTTATCCTCGCTGTAAAAATTATTTTTACCAGATTGAGTCAAAGACCGGCCGTGACCGAAACTAGTAGAGCCATTGGTTTTTTAACAAAAACAATTATTGCAGCGAGGATAAGCCTGATTTCTTCATTTCCAAGATCATTTCCTCCAGTGTCAACTTCTTCAAACAAAATGAATTAACACATTTAAATTTGTAATTTAAAGATTGAATATAGAAATCAGATAATTGCTGAATTAAGGAGGATATGAAATTATCTACATTTTAAATTAATAAAAATTATGTGACTAAAATTAATGCGATAGACGAATAAAGATCTCCGACTGCAATTGTTTTGCTCCATTATTATTCAAATATTAATAGTATCATGCCATGTACTAGAATGTAAAAAAAAAAATTAATAATAAATACATTTAAATATTTAAATAAAGACATACAGCTCTTAAATAAAATTTAATGTCAAGAAAACTTAAATTATTTTTAATAAATAAAATAATGTTAATAACTGAGAAAAGACACATAATTAAAATAAGGAAAAAAGGATTTCATTTAAAAAGTATTTATTATTTATGTTTTAAACTTATAAAATTTAATTGTAAAGTATATTTTTTTTCGTAGTAAAATTAATTTTTGTTGCCAAGCTCGATGCATAAATTTTTCAGTGCAAAGTCATGGCCGAAGACGAATCGAGGCCACGTCGATCGTCGATATTTAAAGCAGAATTAATGAAAGCGCGTCTGGCGCCTTTGTGCGATCGACGCCTCGTTCATTAGCGAGAGAGAAACGTCGGAGGCCCTGCCATTAACTTGGAGCACTCACCTATCATCTCCTGCATGGGCACCTTTCCGCCGTATTCCTTGGGCAAAATCTGGGCGTCCACCTTGTTGTGCAGCTCTTTCAGATTCGAGTGAACCTGCAATGCAATGAAAACTTTGCTTCAAAAACGCCAAAAGTGGATGAAATGAAACACACGGGTGTCGCACAGGTTGCCTATACTGACACATCAATAAAGAATTTCTTGATTTAAAACTGAAAAAAATGCAGTTTATTTTCCTAAATTTAATAAAAAATGTTTTGCCGGTATTCGCTGCTTTTTAAAATTAAAGTGGCACAATGTAAATTTTTAATTATTTAAAATACTATTTGTAATTTTGAAATCGGTCATTTTTGTAACTAAACTTATTTTTCAGCCAAATGTCCTAATTTTTTTTTGGCATTTAATTAATAAAATTTGCACTTCTTTTATATCCAAAGTAAAATGTGGATTTCTTCATAAATAAAGAAAATTTTCAATATGCAAATATGAAATGTAAATAAAATGAATTAACATCCAAATTAGTCACTTCGGGCTATTTTTTGTTTTTCAAATTTATTAATTTTAGTTATTTTATTGATTTTGGACGTCTAGAATAAGCAGCAGAAAATTTAATGAAAGCACTAGTTATGGTTTATGGTACACGTGGCCGCGTAAACCATTTACCAGAATTTTCAATAGTTGATGGACTAAAATTTACAAGACACAAATTAAGCATAAAATAAGCTGAAGAAAATTTTAAAATTTCCGACCTTGAATCTCTTCCTCATCTTTTCACTGAAGGTCGATCTGGCGAGGTCGTAGACAAGTCTGACGGGTGCGGGCAGGTTGATGAAGTTCATTTCGCGGTGGCGCATCGGAATGGATTGCTGCGGGCGCAACAGGTAATTAGCACCGAATTAGTGACAAAGGGCCAATTACACACACCTCGCCCCATTTGACGGCGGTCGTGAACTCTGAGGGTGACCACAACGTGACGTGCGCGGCCGAGACGCCCGAGAGGTCGCTCACGTGACAAAATCCGTGCACCTGGTTCAGCTCGTCCTCCATCAGGGCCTCGTACGTGATGAAGTGCGCCTTGGCCATGTCTGCGCACGTGAACTTGTACGGGTCCAGTTTGCCTGCAAAATTAATTTGATTTTGAAAAGTACCACGATTTTGAGTTCAACAATTACTGGCAGCAGTGAAGATGACCTTTCTTCCTTCGCTGTCCCGCTCGAGAAGGGGGAAGATGTAACTGAAAATGGAAATATTAAATTATTATATAGCAACATAAACAGAAAAAATAGTTAATTTTAGCTCTGCTCAAAAATGCAAACGCTGAAATTATTATAAAATTTATTATTTGAAACAATTATGATTCAAAAAATGACCAAATTTTTTACAAAAGCAGTGAACTTTTTGAATTTTTGTGTGAAATGTTAAAATAAAATCATTAATTGTGTGTTTCTATCTTGATATTTTGATTCAAAATTCACAATGAGAGAATTAAAGTGTGTTCTGCTAAAATTAGAAGTTCAAGACCATCGGAATTATAGCAAAGTCATTGTATTTTTGTCCAACAGCGAAGTCAACGGTTTTTCTTTTTCAATATAAAAATTTTATAACAAGTGTTATGAGAAAATGAACTAAAAACTAATTGCATTTGTTAATTAACTGAATTGTCTGAATTTTCATTTATTTAATTGCCTGGTTTTAACGACACAATACACGAGAATTGAAACTCTAAAAGTAGAGGTAATTCTTGGTAACATGTTGTTTAGAAGCTGGCAAAAGAGTATATTTTATATTATTGCAACACATTAAAAATTAGGTTAAACATTCAAGCTTTTCATCTTGTACTCAAAAGAGCAACTTTTGATAGCAATTTGAATATATTTAAAATAATCTTTTATTATTTTAATAAATAAAAATAAAATGAAGACAAAAAAATGTGTTATATTAAATTGTATTGTAAACTTTTTGTATTTATATTTTTTAAACATTCATTTGTATTATTTATTTTTAACTTACCCAGCTGCGATCAATTGATTGACTGACGGCTCGAGATAGTCGAGCCTCTTGCAAAGGTGCGGCAGGGTCTGGCGCAGACTCAGGTACTTAAGAAGGGTTTGCTGAGCCATCGGCACGCTGAACTTCTTCACTCGCAAGAATCGCAACATGAAGTTGGCGTCTGAAAGTTGTCGTTTTATATAATTAACAAAAATCTTTAAATTTATTCAGAAAGAAAAAATGCTTTATTTCATTTTGCAGCTGAATGAAATTTCACAAAAGCCTCGTCTTTCTCTCTCTGATTCGAAACTTCTGCTCGCCACCATCTGTTGAATGGCTGAGGTTGAAAAGGAATTTTTAATTACGCGTTGCGGCGGCGTGGATGGGATTTCCGCCCTTTCTCAAGAGAAGAGGCCGCGCACTTTTTGTTCGCAGAAATGAAAAGCGGGAAAATAAGCGAGCTCTTTTGTCTCTGACTCGGCAACAAAGCGGAGCATTTCCAAATGGCAATTACCCGCAATGGGCTTGCCGGTTTCAAGTAAAATAATTTGAGGCGCGATTGTCTGACTTCTTCTTAAATACCGTTTGTAAATTTAAATAAATGTAAAACAGCAACAGTATTTTTAGATCCAAACCTGTGAAATGTGTTAAAATTTATTCCAGAAGTGTACAAAAACAAACATTGAAATAGTGAAAAAATGAGCCTATTAGGGGCTGAACTGGTCAAATGAGGAAAGCTGGTTGCATATAAATTTATAATACTTTTTATAAGTAATTCTCATGGAAATTTTTAACTCTCCAAAATTCAAATGAGGAAAAACGTTTCAACTCTAGGGTGCTAATTTTTCAATTGAGGATTTGACGCCGGTGAAGAATAAAAATTGAAATTTTATTTCAATTCAGACAAATTACCCAATCGGCAGTTTTGCACTTCCTGGCTTTTCGAGGCCCAGTCCCTGAATTGCTGCAGGGCCTGTTGACGCGCGTGTTCGTCCTCCCTGAGCTGCTTGCGGGCCACCCTGCGGGTTTCCACGGGCAGCTCGGCTCCAAAATCACCGTCGGGCACCTGACTCTGCAGACGGCCCAGCCCCACGTGCGGACCGCTGATCAGAACCTGCGTCGTCGACATCACTGCAAGAGAACAAACATTTAATGAAAATCTAAAATAAAATGAAAATGCAATTATTTGCGGAAATGGATGATCAGATTAACTATTTAAGAGTTACATTCACATTTTAATGAAAAAATATGTTATAGTTCACAATTTATAATTTAGAATAATTGTTATCTAGTAACATTATCAATTTGTTATAATTCAACGACTTCTGCTTATTACCTAAGTAACGTAAGATTATACTTTCAAAAATAGAAATTCTAAAAACAAATTGATCATGATGACAAAAAAATCTTCGGCATTTTTAATTAAAAGTTTAATTGACTGATTAATTAATTTGAATAATTCCGTTTAAACACTTGTCTTTTATTACTAACCAAAGGCAATCAGAGAGGTTTATTTTGATTTTTGATAAATACAACAAATTAATACTTGAACGTGGAAATTTTTCAATTCATGAATTTTGATTATCTTTTCTTTTCTGCTATCCCTCGAATACAATCAGTCTTACTGAATTATTAAAATAAAAAAATCTTCTCAAGAATTTTATTTCACCACCTTCATTATAAACATAAATATCCTATGCACTAATATTGTAAGGAAAATTGAACTTTGCAATTGCTCTTGCGTAGATAAATATGAAAGTCCAATAATAGTCCATTATTAATTCACGCGATATTTGCAGGCTTTGTGAATTTGGTGCAACATTAATGGTCTGAAGAAATGCATTGTGTGTCCCGCGGGAGTGAAAAGCCAAAAGCAGCGACTCGGCTATTTATTGCGCTGACCCGGCCTTGGACTAGCAAAGGGACAAAAGTGAACGAACGACAAAAGGGCCGCCGACACACTAATAACAGTTAGTTAGTAGTTCAGCCAGTGCATGTGTGTGTTTTCTTTAAATACAGAATCCGTCCAAAGACTAGTTTTGTATTCTTGGAGCTGCGGACGACGAATTCATTTATAATTGACATTTTCTCTTGCGCGTACTTGAGTTTTTATTTGTCCTTTTCGTGAAGTACGAGACCGTCTAGTCTCTCTATAGCTTGAGCAAACACGGGCCAATGAACAATTGATATCTACGCAAATACACAAAGCCACGACTAGGCTCTGTTGACATTTATTGACGCACATATGACTTTCATAAAAAAGTCACTTGAATGTGAAGTTAAACTGTTAATTTTGTCAAGGAATAACATTTGCTGGCTTGGTTAACCTTGAATGGCATTTTTATTGCTGATGAGTTGAGGCCATGGATCAGTTTTCGTTTCCTAGATTTTGTGTTTTAAATAAATTGAGCATCACATGTTATGTCATATATGAATATTTATATGTACATAGGAGCGAACGCAGCAGTCCAAATCTATTAGTTTTTTGACTCTATTAGTCTATTCTTTAAAATTTATTAAGCATGCACAGATTTATATAAATAAATAAAATATAATTTTTAAAAGTATTTATTAAAAAATAGTTAAATTATATTATAAAGAAAATTATTAATAATAATAAACCAAATTAAAACATGTGTTAAATTTTAAATATTTTTTTTAAATAGGTGATTAAAAGTGTTATTTGCTTAATAACTTTTAATTAATATATTAATATGAGAAGAAAATTTGAATAAAAATTTTTAATTTTATTGCCGGTATTTTACTACCCACAAAATTGCTTTGTTCTGCTCTGCCAGTTTTGGCCACAAGCAAAAATTCTGTACTTTCCGACTAATGAAAAGAATATTAATTCTACATCCTACGATCCCACTGCTGGTTTTCCAGGGTTTCCCAAAATTCAAAAGATGCCGTTACACCCCCTTAATTAAATTGCCCTAAAACCACATTCTTCGTTAGTGACACAAGTTTTCTATTTCGAGGTGCCTGAATTTATGAAAATGTTCTACAAAAGTTCTTCCTTATAGCTAAATTTTGTCGCCCAACAACTCATAAATATTTCTTTTTCATTTGTGATTGAAATTTTTAAGCTGAAATTTAGGTAATATTCTACATTTAAATTAGTACTTTTGACTAAACACCTTTTACGTGGAATTACGTTCCGAGACGCGAGATACTGATGTCTCAGTATTTCGCAGTATCTCGCGTCTCGGAACGTAATTCCACGTAAAAGGTGTTTAGTCAAAAGTACTAATTTAAATTATTTCCCGTTCTGAGTGGTTTCTTTGGGTTTTTAATTCTCAAAAAAAAAATATTCTACATTTTTGATTAAAATACAATCAGACGGCTCAAACTGCCTGTTTTTTTATTTATTTATTTTTTTTTAAATTCTTTTATTTTCGCCTGCTTCATTTGAAAATTTCGGGCATTTACGGACAAATTTGCACCTTTTGACTTTCAGCAGTAGCTGTGTTTAGTAGAAAAACATCATGGTGAAATTCTTGTCAAAAAAAAAAAAAAAAACTTAAATAGATTTTTACTATTTCATGGTTAAATGAATGCTTGAAACAATGATTTAAATTGGTTTGAAGAAGCGCAAACTTTTGAAACTCAACTTTTATTATTCTCTATTGATTAATATTGTGGTTTTCCATGAAAAAATCAATTCATACTAATTTAATTATCCGTCGAACTATTTATTTGAGAAGCTTATTATGCGTGAGTCAAGCGCGGTGGTTGCGCAAGCGGGAGTATAAAAAAAAGTAGCCTTCGCTTCACAAACACACATTTTAATTTTCCTGCCTTTGAGAGGTGGAAGCAGATTTTCCTAATTGTGGTGAGGTTAAGTAAGCGAATAAGTGCATCTCGCGTGCATATATGAGTTGTTATATCACAGCAAATACACTCGATGCACTTTCTCTGGAGCAATTACTTTCACTGCTTTCTCTCCACTTGTTGATCTCTTGTTTCTTGCTTGACCAGCCGCAATTATTTGCATTTTTATTCAAATCCACGTCGTCTGCGAATGCAACTGTTAAATGAGCTGCAGTGCAATACCCATGCAAGTGTTCCCATTCGCTCGACACACTCGCCCAAGGTGCCAGTTCGAAGCACGTGTGCGAATTTCAACGGGGGGAAAAGGGCAGCAATTCTTGTTCAATGCGTTTCCTATTGTTGCATAACGTAATTTGCAACGCTTCACGCAGACGGCTTTTAAAACTATTCATGGTTTTTATGAGCAATAAATTGCTTATTCTGTGGATATTTAATTTATTTTCAATAAGGCAAAGGAAATATTTCAAAATTTCTGAACTTTTACATTTTCCGATGAACCTCAGAACATCAATCCGCCCAATTTGCGATACATCTTTCTTATACGAAAAAATCATAGACAAAATCTTCTCAAATTTGAGACCGGAAAACACAAAAATATTGAAATATTAAATTTACTGTATTGTGTAAATTCTAAATAAGTAAATGAAAAAAAAACAAAATTTTTAGCCCAGGGGAGAATAATTTTATTTTTCCCCACTTAATTTATTTTAACTTTGGCTTGAGTTTCCTTTCATATTTTGTGCCCTTGTTGTAAGAGGATAAAATAATTAAAATATTAGATAATATATGGAGTAACAAGAGAAGTTTTAGTAAAATACACAAAGCCGGTTGTCTGAGAAGCTCAAAGAAAGGTGTATGTACGATGATATGATATTTATAAATCACAATAAATCATTAAACTCAAAATCACTCTGATCGAATGTAAAAGACATGTAATAGTTCCAGTGAGTTATGAAATTATGATTATAGTTGCTCGTCCCAATTTAGAAGATTTTTGTTATCTATACAAGATTCATCTTCACTTTTAGATCACGATTAAAATTTATAATGTAAAACCAATTTAAAAAATACAATTTGATTGAAGTACAACTTAGAATTTATTTAACATACAAAATTATAAAATAAATATAAATAGCATTAAAAATAAGAATAATGAAAAATATTTGTGAAGTTTAAAACGTTAAAATAATAATTTTGGTTGATTTCAGGTTAAAAATTAACACACACTTAAAAATTTGCAATTAAAATCTGTAATTAAATACAATTTCCATTTGCCCGAATGCATTAGAATGAGCAAATCAATCAGCAAGTGCTCGGCAATGGCATTTCGCTGCCGATTGACCTGCACCGCATTAACTGCAAAAGCTTTTTAATCAAATGCACTCGACGCTATTTGAACTGCGCTGAGTGCTAGTTGGTCGGAAAAAGTGCTGCTCATTCGAGTGTTATTAATTGGATGTTAAAGCCTAGAGCTGTGGCAAAGTGCATGAATCGCAAGGTCCTCTCCGTGTTGTTAAAACAAAGACGACCTTACTTATCTGTGCTTCAAATTTCAATGTCGTCAGAGAGATTTCGTGTCAGCACACAAAAGTGGCTAGAAACAATAGTTGCGCATCATCAAAATTATTTATCCTTGGCAAGATTAACTATTTTCAATAGCAGCAGAAAAACGCCAGGGGCCGAAAATTGAAATTATGTACAAATTTGAATTCTTTATTAGAAAATTATTTCAAAAATTAAATATTATTTTTTTAAGAATTGAATAAATTTATCCAATCAAATCGGTATTTATTGAATAAAAAAAAAATACATTGTTAATTCAAATATAAATATATTTTGACTTGAAAAGATTAGGTGCTGATTGAAACAATGTCCAAAAGTTCCTTACCGTATTCGTGGATGCGATTCCGGGGTATTTTGGGAGCACTGAGGTGGTGTCTGCAAGAGCAGTGAGTGCACTCTCGGCGACTGAGACTCGTCCGCTCACTCAGGTGTCGGCCAACCTCCGTGCGCCTACCCTGACGGCGACGCGTGACGTCACGCCCTCCAGCTGGACGTGCAAACACCACCACCAAACAAACTCGCACCTCCTCGCAAAAATCATTAAATAACACTTCCCTGGACTGTTAAATATAGAGAAATTTATCGGAAAAATTAATATATTCATAATTTTTTTTTATTAATTAACAAATCAATAAAATAAATATTCTTAAAAAAAGTTCCTTTTCTTTCTTTTGTTGAAAAGTTTATTATTATTTATTAATTTGATTAGAATTTACTATACTTTTTAAGGTATTAATTTCGAGGCGTTAATTAATTATTTATTATCTGTTAAAACGTCTCTCTCCTCTGGGCCCTCTTCCGCAGTCGTTGCGTGAATATCAGACACACTGTTGGACAATAATAAAAATGAGTTTCTATATCAGACTCACTCGATGCACGTCTGATGCAATTTGTCGCGGTTTCGCAACACTGCTCCGTACAGGGCAATAATAATGCGTTATTTAACAGCGCGGCGAAGAAAGTGTCGAATAACTCACCATTTAATAATTCACGCTCTTGCGTGCATTCATAGTAGTTTGACGCGGAGAGTAATTTTATTGTTTGGACTTTGGACAGATGGCACCCACTTGAGACGAAAGTGTTTTTTTGCTGTTATTAATTGTATCCCGGAGAAATTTGTGAACTTTTTTATGCTTTCCGGGTGTGACGTTGCATTTAAATTTGCACAAGTACGAGAGACGTAAACATATTAATCACGGAGCAAAAACTTTCAATCAAATTTTACCATTCACTCTGCATGTGAGAAGTACTTTTTATTTTGCTGCTAATACTAATTTTGAACATCCTTGAATATTTTAAAATAAAGTGACAAAATTCAAATTAACATTAGCTTGAACAAATCTTATAATATGATTAATTTTTTAACATTAAGATTCATCATGACACAGATACATAATTACAATAGAGATTAGAAAATGCTGTTGATTTTGTTTAATATGTAATCAAAAATGTGCTTCGATTAAATGAATCATTAATTAAAATTGTTTTACACAACAATTTAATTAATAATAATCGTTGTAGTGTTACTTTAGCTAGAAAAAAGCTAAAAAATAAAAACAATAAAATAAACTATAAAATAGGCTAAAGAAATAAAATAAATTGGTAAAAAATAACTAAGCAGTAAAACACTTTTAAATAAGTGAAAAATTAAATAACTTTTTTATGTTTTAAGTGATATTAAAACAATAAGAACAAAAAAGGTCAACCGAGGCTCACTGTGGCGGATGGGGTCTTTTTGGCCTCGGAAGTTTTAGCCAAATTCTTGCTAGTGGTGGTGCCGTTTTGTCCAACAATCTCTTTTTGCTCCAAAATAAATGTTTTTCAACAATACGTATGTAAACAATGTGATGTAATAATTTGGACAAATAAACAACAATAAAATAATAATAATTTGTGACAAAAATTATTTATCTTCTATAATGAACCTTGTGATCTGCTAGATCAATGAATTTAATTTTTTATAAAGAGATTTAAAACCAATAAATTAGGCAATAATTTATTCTACAATATTAATTGCACAATTTGCATAAATTAGATAAATAGATATCAATGCAAAGGGGATAGGTTAGGATTTAGCAACGAGAAAAGCAATTAACTTGCAAGTTCTGAACATTTTTTGGCCTTGTGCCAGAATGACACAAAAACGTGTACACAATTATATTTTCTTTTCCGTTGTCGATACAAAATATTACACGTGTTGAATGGGCTCCTCTCGCAGGGCAAAAAAGCGGCCCTTTATTTATTCTGCCGAATCATTTCGGGCTGCTTTGTTTTCACACTCTCCATTATTCACATTGAAACGTATACTTAGCTGAGAAAAAAAATAGCTCCTTTTCCAAAACAGTGTGTCTGCTGCCGTGTAAGAAATTACATAACAAAAGTCTTGGAATACAAAAGTGACGGAAAACCTATTTATTTTCTTGATATTTAAGAGGAAGAAGATGCAAATTAGAAAGTAAAAGACTATAAAAAGCTTTAATACTACGTGTTAGTAAACGTTTTTAATTTATTTAAATTAAATTAGCAACAATTAAGCGGCCAGCCAACAATTAATGCGTTTAATGATTCAAAATACAATCACACAAACATAATTAACACATACAAAAATAATATTTTTAATGCCTTTCTTTGGTACACGTGAAAGTATTGTTTAAAATCCCTTGAAGGAATAATAAAAAAGTAGATGACTTGAAAAATATCATGAATTTTAAGTTGAATTAGAATTTTGCAGAAATTGGGAGAGACAATTTTTTGGTACATTTCTTTCTTTTGAAGATTAATTTTATCTGATTGTGACAACAGCAAATATTGGCAAAATAAGGTTAAAAAATTTATTACAAATACTTATTTACGTTATTTACTGAATTAAAATGAAATTAAAATCGTCATAACTGAGCGTCAATTCCATAATCAAAAATAGACACAATAACGCCGATAAAAATAATAACTGGGTCAGCAAAACGTGTAAACAAAACACGGATGTATCCAATAATTGACATTATTCAAGTGCATTTTATTTCAAGGCACATGAATCAACAGAGGCGTATTTTACAACTGTCTTCCATAATCAGCGGGTAAATAATGCAAAATGGATAATACGGAGCGCTTCCTGCATCGCGCACAATTAAAAATAGCGGCAGTGCCAGCGGCAGCCTTGTGACCTACTCAATCTTTCTCTTTATATTCCGATTGCCGTCGGCAGACGCTGCTTCAGGAACATTTATAAATATGTAAATGAGACAAACATTACGTCGCTGCCTCCAGCAAATGCGATCAAATCAGGCAGTAACTCAATTAAAGGCATTAATGCCTTCATTTACAAAAACTTCTATTTAATATTTTTTATTTTACAAAATTTAGACATTTCAATGATAATTCTTACAAAGGATAATTTATTTCCAAATTTAAGATTTTTTATAAAATCAGATAATAATGAATTGATTGTTTAGTCTGATATTTTTTTTCATTAATATTTGCTTATTCAATCAAAAAATTATCCTCAAATTTATTCTTTCTGATACAGAATTTTGACTTTTGGTGGAAAACATTTCAAATTTACAAACTAAATTATGTGATTTTATCACAAATTTCTGGTTTGCTTTGAGATTTTTTTTTCCTAAAAACTAGGGTTGTGAAACTTAGACGCGTTTTTTGCCTAAAATAGTCGACTTTTTTTAGACACTTTTTTCATAGAAAAAGACTGTTTTTAGACGGTTTTTATCCAATTTAGACGGTTTTAGACTGTTTTTCCAAGGTTGAAAATTTGGCTTGTAAAAAGAAGTCGCCGAGGGTGGATCTAGGGGTGAGGGGGTAAAAATCACTGTTCACAAAAACTAGCTAGAAATGCTCAGAATGACCTGTCCGAGATTTGTAGATGGTCGCCAGAAACCATGAAATTTTTTTTCAAGTCCCGACTCCCGAGAATGCGCGGTAAACAAAAATCGGTTCACTTTTGAATATTTTGTGCACCAGGAGACGAAATAGTGAGTTTTAGACACTTTTAGACTGTTTTAGTCGATTTTCAGACGCTTTTAGACGGTTTTAGACGACTTTAAGTGGGTGTCAATCGTCTTGGAATTTCATGATTCGTGCACATTTGATGAATTCAGGCCAAACCAAAGCCCAGAAAAAAATAGTCGATCGTCTAAGTTTCACAACCCAACTAAAAACTTAAGAAGAGTTTTACGTTTTTTAAATACACAGGGATTTCCATTAAAATCCGTACATTATTTTCCACAACAAGCGTTTTCTACCGGAAATTTGAATTCATCACATTTATATGCAAAACAAATTGACAGGCGAGGACAAAACCGCGTCAAGGAAAGCGAGGCTGCGCTTCACTTGCACTTTTCAGTGCTGCCTGTGCCGAGAAAAGAATAGGCGCGTGCGAATGTTTTGCACGGGCGCGCAATCCCGTGTGCATTTCTCATTTACTCTTCCTGCTGAAGTCTGCGAGCAAAAGTCGAGACCTGATGCAAGTTGTTGGTGCACTTCCTGCAGCTGTAATTGTGCATTCTACACTACTTATTACATACACCGCGCGGCTTGTTGCCGTTTGTGCAATGAAAAGTAAAACCGCCGCGCGCGCGCCGACACCTTTGTTTGCTTTTTACCTCGAGACACTATTTGTGCTCCGTAATGTTGTAAAACACACGTTCGCCAAATTAAAAAGCAAAACCAAAGCAAGACGGCCTTTTGTAAAATGCATCATGAACAATTACACAAGAGCCCGCGAGTGCATTGCATGGGAAATTAAACAAACTTTGTGTTTGACTCCCTGAGTGGTTCAATTTGTTGATTGCTAAATAATCATAGCTTTAAGTAGAGCCAACGGAATTATAAATTATATAGTATTTTAAATATTATTCAGAAACGCCACTTCTTTAAATTATTATAGAAATTGCAAAAACAAGAATGAAACGGTATAAAAATTATCAAAAAGCAGAGCAAATATTGTGTTAATTTATATAGTTTTAAATAACTTTTAAAAACTTTTAAAAGAAAGATATCAACAATTATTATTTAACCATTTAGTTTTCATATTTATCTTTTTTTTATGAAATAATTAATAATTTTATTTAAATAAAATTTTTGCATTTTTTAAAGCATTAAAAATTATTTAGTTATATAACCCATCAATTGTAAAAAGAAAATATTATTTTTGATTTTTAAATATAATAAATAATATGTCAAAGAAATAAGGACATATAAATTGTGATATTATTTCTTACTCCCCAAATCGCTGTCGCAAGTTTTTTGTAAATTATTATTATCAAATTTATTGGAAGTCAGAAGAAAGAGTTTTATCCTTGTTGGAAAAAAATAGTTTTTTTTTGCTCAGAATCAAAACGGCTCACAATCAGAAATAAAAATAAATACCATTATTATTTAGTTATCACGATAAAAAATTGTAATGTAAAAAATTAAGTTAATAACTACTTGCTTTGAAATTTTTGAAATAAACCACGTGAGCAATCAGGCGCAAAGTTTAAAAACTATTAAAAAAAACTATGTGATAAGAAAGAACTGAGAAGAAACTCAATTTAATTGTTATGATTTTCATCGTTGAAGACCACAAAGTAAGAAACTGATTTATGACTTGAACGATTCACATCATTTCAATAACTTAAATTTATCCTTGGTCGACAGTGAAAAAAATGACCAACACTTTCTTCACACATTTTTTTAACACTAAAAATTATATTAAAACCGATGTAGAATGAAACTGAATTAACTGGCACAAATAAGAAAACAATTGAGCGATGAACAAAAGTTTAAAAAGTAATAAGGGACACCTTTCAAGCCAAAGCACAGGTCGGTTGGCAAGGGGTCGTGGATTTATTTGCAAAAATCAGGTGAAAAGAACACAAAATTTGACGGATTTTGGCGTGGAAAAAACTCGGAAAAGTCAAAAGCTTTCCCGGAAAAACGCTACTGTAGTTTCAACTTAAAAATGGAATATCTCGGGTTCTAATTGAGATACAGAAATGCGGCTAGCACCAAAAATTTTCTTTTTACCTCCTCTTCAATCCTGAGGGGTCAAATAATCCAGAGGTCAAAGGTCAAGGTCATTTTTCAGGGGTCACAAGTACAAAAAAAATTCTAGCAAAAATATGCCACCTTTGATTGGGCTGAAATTTTTTTCTAAGATAGTCCTAACATGTAGGGACAACATATTAAAAATTCAGAATGGCATATTTTTTAGTTATTTTATAAAAAAATCACAAAGGTAAAAAAACGTGAATTTTTCGTATTTTGCCAATGGTCGGATATTGATTTTTGGAATTTTTAAGAAATTTTTTGAAAATTTAGGAATTTTTTGTCAATAAACAAATAAATTTACCCATTTTAGATACGTACTTTCTCAAAATAAATTTTTGATCATGAGCAAAATGCGAAAAATTCACGTTTTTTTACCTTTGTGATTTTTTTATAAAAAATCTAAAAAATATGCCATTCTGAATTTTTAATATGTTGTTTCTACATGTTAGGACTATCTTAGAAAAAAATTTCAGCCCAATCGAAGGTGGCATATTTTTGCTAGAATTTTTTTTGTACGTGTGACCCCTGAAAAATGACCTTGACCTTTGACCTCTGGATTATTTGACCCCTTAAGATTGAAGAGGAGGTAAAAAGAAAATTTTTGGTGCTAGCCGCATTTCTGTATCTCAATTAGAACCCGAGATATTCCATTTTTAAGTTGAAACTACAGTAGCGTTTTTCCGGGAAAGCTTTTGACTTTTCCGAGTTTTTTCCACGCCAAAATCCGTCAAATTTTGTGTTCTTTTCACCTGATTTTTTGCAAATAAATCCACGACCCCTTGCCAACCGACCTGTGCTTTGGCTTGAAAGGTGTCAAGGGTTATTTATATTTTTAGTTTGCTTTCTATTCAAAAACCAATATTTTATTGATAATTTTAATTTCAAACCTCAAAAACACGAGGAGAAAAAATATATAGATAAGTATTGAAATTTTTTTAGTAAAAAATACAGCTAAATATGGTTATCTTTACCAAAGTTATGTTGGAAAAAAATACTTTTATAGTACTTTTGTTTTGTACGTTTTGTAACTCGACTTTAATTATATTTCTGGCCAATCCACATGAAGTGCATTTTTCCATATTTTATTTCCTGTTCAGCTCGTGAGAGAGTTTTTCTGTCAAAAAGTGCGTGCGGGGTCATCGCCGCCAAAGTACAAAGTAAACAAAGTCGCACCCGAAATCAAAGGAAGGACACGACAGGGAAATTTATTCAAATAAAAACGGGAGTGCGTCTGATGGTCTCGCGAGTTTTCACTTTTTGGCTGAAATTCAATTTGCAAGTCAAAAGTAACTTTTTTTGCGAATGCAAATGAATTAAATTTTATGCAAACAGACCAGCAGCGCAGAGGGTTTTACGAGCAGGAAAAGGAAACGGCCAATTCAATAAATCGCCAGCGCTGCTGAACAGCAAATATCGCTCAAAAAGCAGACGCAAATTGCTCGCAAAATTTTATATTCCACGTGCTCAGAGTCAATTTAATTTGCCAGACTTGTTTGCTTGAAAGAGCGGTTTACATCCATCATGGATTTCGGACTCTAAATTTTCGGTCACTTTGACTGGTGAAATAATCCATCAGAAATTACCTTTGCATGCACCAAACGAATGCACACAAATAACACTACAGCCGATATTGCACCCTCAGGCCAAAGCAAATATTTAAGCTCTAGAGTGATTTCCTCTCTGCGCCCTCGTTTTAACGCTTCAATGTATGCAATTTCGCTGATGATGTTGCAATCATTCGCATTGGTTTTCATTTTTAATAAAGGCACGGTTTTGATTATTCCAGTAAGTATTTATTAAAAAATATTACAGGACAAACCAATCAAATAATTACAATTGTTCATCCTTCTTCTTTATTAAAACTTTTACCACAAGTCATTTTATGTGATATTTTTTTGTTACTAGATGTCAAAATATAATCAGCTGCGTACAGGGACTCAAGGAGTAAAAAAGGGTTACGTAAGAATTAGTACGAATTCGCTATAAAAACCTTGAAACAGCGGCACGAAGCTAATTTTAATACATGTCTTGTTCCAGTGCAGTCAAATTAAGAATCAGTTTACATTAAACATTACATTGGATGACGTCGAATTGCTCCATTTTGTGAGTAATTATTTATTTTACACCATAGTACTAATTTGTAGTTATGTAAATGCTATACATAAGGGTTTGAATATGAGTACATTTATATATACTTTTGCAAATTCAACGAGGCACAGTTTAATCGTCAACTATATAACACATCATTAATCTTAATCAGATCTCATATGTTTGAAATAAAGTTTGATTTAGACAATTTGAACTAAAAGAAAAGAGAGTACATCGGATTGGATGTGACAAGCTCAATAATAAACATCACTTTGCTCAGGGTACATTAATTTCCGATATATTAAAAAGTCCGCCAACTCATTGCATTGATAAAGTTGTTTGCGTAGCTTTGATGGTTACGAGTAATGAGTTCTATTTACAGGCATGATGCAGTTTTGGAAGAGTAAGAATAAGTGTTAAATTATCATTAGACAGGCGGCAGAGCCCAGAGAGTGGCCATTTTATCCGCACCAGTGCTGATGAAGGAAAACTCCGAGGGATGCCACCGGCCAGAGATGACTTTGTCTTGGTGCTGCGCGACCACCACACTGGGTAGGGGAGTTGTCAGGTCGCCTAAAATAACATTTATTGAAATAAATGATCGTACAAAATGTCAAATTTAAAAATTGTGTGCAATTTTGATATCAAATACAATTTTTAGAAATATTTTTATCAAAAAATATTAATATTTTGTATCAAGAAATGTTTTTATTTTTAAGGAAAATGAAAGTAATAATAAAATAATAAATAAATTAAAATCAGTTCCAAAAAAATTTTGGATTTTTTAAATTTTATATCATTTTAACAAACAATTTTTACCTTGCAAGTCAGTGAGCACAAGTTTGTTGTCGTATCCGCCTGTGAGAAGGTAGTAGGCGCTGGGTGAAAACCTGATGGAACGCACGTCTGATGTGTGCGGCTTGAAGCACTGCACGCTTCGACCACCCCTGATGTCGTACAAAACGCAAGAAGCGTCTTCGTGTCCGGAAACCAGCAGACGACCAGAGGGATCGACGCAAATGGCAGCCACGGGAGAACCCTGAAGTCATTAATTAATTTTATAATTGAATTGCTCAAGATAAGGAAATTTAAAAATACTATAAAATAAAAGAGAAAATTTAAAGATGTAAAATTTGAGTTGGGTTTTTACCCTGTTTCCTGGTGCAGTGGCCGGAGTGACCATGTTTACGCAGCCCCTCGTCCTCAGGTCCCAAAATCTGACTGTCTTGTCTTGGGATCCACTGACAAACATGGCACCACCCCATGTGTACAAGGAAAGAACGTGACCTATAAAAAACAAGAAATTAGTTATAATTGAACAAGATCAAAAATATTTATTCCAATTACTTAAGATGACTCAGATTTAAATTTTAAATTGTTTTTAAGTGAATAATTATTTTCCATAAATTTATAAAACTATACAAAAAAAAAAAAAAAATTTCTGCATTCTGAAATGTAAGAAGAAAAAAAATTAAAAAAATGTAGGAACAATTCCAAATAATTTCACTTATTGCGTCATTTTTCCTCTGTTTTTAAAAATTTCAAATAAATACTTCATTTTCATAATTTGCAATTGCCGCAATTGGAAATTTCAGTGTAATAATCAATTTTCTTGCATTTAAAATGAAAAATCAGTCAAAATGGTCCCTTTATTTAATTAACTATTATTGACTCTATATTTCTATACTTTATATTAAAGTAATTTTTTTACCTGAATGTCCACTCAGGGCCTGGAAAGGAGTGCCGGTGGCGCAGTCAGTCACATAAATCTTGCAATCCCCAGCACCACCACTGATGAGAAGGCTGGATTTGTTGCTCGAGTCCTCGATGAAGCACAAGTCACGCACGGTGCCATCGTGCATCGTCAGCTCAATTTCTTGACCTGAAATAAAAAAAATTTGAAAAATGATCTCAAATGAAAAATCCAATTTAATTACCTTCTAGATTTGACGATTCTGCATTGAAGCGCATGAGTTTGACTGTCTTGTCGTTGCTGCCGGTGGCCATCAGGTCACCCATCGGGGTCCACGCCATGCAGTAGATGGAGCCCTTGTGGTGTTTGGTGCGCTTGAACAGCACTGTTGGCTGATGTGTTTGATGATCCTCTCTGCAAACAAATTAATACTTAAATCAGTCATTTTTCTAGAAGGGATATACTTTTTTTTTAAATTTATCAATTATTATTAGAGCTGTAAAATTTAGCGGATGCTATATTTTCTGCGCTTGAACTTTATTTTATTATCATGTGATTATTAATAATTTAAAAAAAATTAATAAAGTGAAACAGACAAACAAAGATCAGTTAATTTTATTTAAAAATATTTACTTCTAGCACTTCATGCAAGCTTAATATATAAATTAAATTTTTATATATTTTTTGATAATGATAAAAAATACAACAGAAATTAAAGTAACAAAGGCAAATGCAACAAAACTGTAATTTTTTAGTATAAATTTTAAAATAATAAAATTAGATCAAAGATTAAAATATTTATATTTTAAATCTATTAAATAAAACAAATATTATAACTATTTTATTACTGATTAAATATTTTCATTTTTTTTAGTAAAAAATCTTCATTTTGACCTTAAAACATTTAAAAACCCCTGCAAGTTCTTGATAATTACAATTATTTTGCATCAGGCGCGTTTTGGGGGCACAGCGGGAAACAAAGGCTATGGGAGGCGATAATCAGCGAAATGCTAATGCAGTAATTGCAGCCAGGCCTGCCAAGTGTGACGCGCTGCAGAGAGATAATCAAATTATCCTGCAGCCCCACCTTGCTGGGAATGGAAGGAATTAGGGTCACCATTGAAGGCCGGAAGTGAGTGTGCCCGAAATAATCAGCAATGAAATCAAGATTAAGAAACACACACTCATTTTATCTCGCACCAAAACTAAACGAACGGGCTCTCAGCCTCTCATTGTATCAATTGAAAATGAGTTCGTCCCATCAAAATGGCAATTTTTTTATTAATAATTAAAAACGTTTCTTTTAATATTTCCTTTGCCGGAATCCAAAATTAATAATTAAAAGATTTTTTTCATTATTATTTTCCTTCTCTGGGGATACAATTAAATCAAAATAAAATTATATTGAAGTTCTATAAATATAATTTTTGGTTTAAAAAAATTAACTAATTTGTTGTAAATCATTGACAAGTTGTAGACTAAATTTACCTCTTATTGAAATTATAAAATAGCTCTTTTTTTAAATCAAATTAATTTAAACAACATTGGTATTTCTTTTTTAATTATGTTGAAAGTTGCTGAAAAAAAGCTTTGTATACAAAAGTAAAAAGAAAAAATTGTTTAAAAGAAATTAAAAGTCAAAATTTTAAATAATAATTTAATCATTCAATATTTTTTTAAATTATTATTATGTAATAATTCCTTACCTAAGATCGTTGAGTTTGGGGTAGCCGCAGATCCTGAGGGTTTTGGAATTTGAACCGACAGCGTAGAATCTGCCGCTCGGGTGAAACTCGGCACACCGCACTGCCTGGACATCTTCCAAACTGGTGACGGCCACAAATTTCGGCCGTCCAGCACCATTTTCCAAATCTCTCGGCGGGCTCGGAGCCGCTGGTCCAGCCTAAAACAAAATTTAAATAATTTTAGTACAAAATTTCTTCAGATTCATACACATATTTATTTCAGGACCGATTTGGGAATTTTTTTCCATAAAATTTTGATTTCGAATCATTTTCTGGTGAAAGTAATTTCCAGATTTGGTTCTTTTAGTTCATCTCCCGTGGCTAATCGGATAAAACAAAGTATCTGGACCAGATCCATTATTATTTGCGGCGGGTAAACAGATTAAAGGCACCCCGCGGTGCCAAGAAAGTGGGGAGCTGTGGAAAAAAAGCACTCGGGGAAATTACCAACGAGCCGAGAATACAAATTTGCCGGTCCAAAGTGACAAAGTGGCGCCCGTTGCATGATTTGTTTTCATTTCCAGCCCCTCCAGAGAGCACTAACAGAAAAACACACAGACAGAGGCGCACGTTTGCCAAAAGGAAAGAAAGTCTGTCTCGGGGAAAAGGTTAAACGCACGCTTGAGAAAAGCAGAAACGTGCAGATCGAACAACTTTTACGAACCTTAGGGGCTGCTCTTTGGTCAGATAAATGAACAACATATTCATTTGTAAGAGTTTGAATGGATTTAACATTAAATAATAATAAAAAGTAAAGTTAAGAATTAATCCCAGTATGGTTAAGTTGGATTTGTTTTTTCAGATTCAGATTCAGATAATATTTATTCCGTATAGATCAACATATGTACAGAAATTTTCTGCAACGAGGAAAAAGCCCGATTCATTCATTTCCATGATCATCTCCTCGAGTGTCAACTTCTTGAAACAAAAATAACAAATTTATTCCAAATTTCTCTGAACATTCTTTGTTTATATTTTTTCACGGTAAAATTTCGCCGCTGCGTGTTGGCTTTGTTTGTTTGTCTGGTGCGGACACTGGACACTTTTGGTCAATTGGCAAACCTCGCAACGGGGCGTCCGATGCTGAAAAGCTCTAACTGTTTGCGCTCTCGAATCGCGATTGGCACGAAATTCATCTGTGAGCCGCTCAATAGAGCACCTGTCTCGCTTTCTGTTTACGCCGCGAGTGCGGTGAACGTCCTCGGCTTCTGCAGAATGAAATCAAGATTTCGGTGCAGATGCGAGAGACAATGGGGCCTCGCTGCGACACCACGAACGTTATTTTAACACAATAAATCAGGAAAAACCAACAGGACAGGGAGTAAGTGACGTTCACGTTGCGGAAATTAAAGTTACGCAGAGTTTCATATTATAATTGTCGCGGTGGAATGTTCATCAAGCTTTCAACAGACACGTCAAGGAGGTAATTAAAAATCAGGAAATTCGTTTATTTTAAAATGAATATTAAAAATTATATGAATATCATATACAAAAAATTGACATAAATTAAATTTTTAACTTGTAGCACAAAACATCAGCGAAAATAAAAACAAAAAATGCTGAATTATTCTTGAAACTCCTGTTAACACCAAAAACTTCAAAATCTGAATTTCCCCGAACTTAAACTTAAATTTGTATGTAAACAATGTGTTGTAACAATTTGGACAAATAAACAACAATAATAATAAATTGAACCAAACTTTATAACCTCTTTCTCTCCTTTTTATTTATAGTTTTAGCTTTATCATCATCGCGTGGACCATCAAATAAGGATATTCCAGCAAAAAATGATAATTTTTATTGAACCAAAATATATATTTAAAAAAGTGAAAACAAATTGAAATGAGCTTAATAAGCAAAATGTGTCTGAAAATTATCACAAAATTTCACTTTTTGTTAGAATATGACGTAAATTTAGAAAAATATGCAAGAAAACTTTACAATCATGTATGAAAAATGAAAATAAGCTCAATGTTTTAGTTTTGTTTTTAAATTTTTTTCAGCAAAACAGACTAACTACGACAGAGTTTTAATGGTCTATGTCATTTTCAGACTGGCAATTATTTAGGGTTAAAATTTCTTCAAAAATAGAGCATAAATTAAAAACAAGTAATTGATCAAGTTTAATTTTTCCATTGCATTAATTTCGTGGAAATCGCAGAGATTCCAACTTCATTCAAATCCTTGGAATTTCTTCTCAATAGATGCTAATTTTAAATGAAGATTCCACTTCTATTTAATAATTTCTCAAATTACATTTTATGACACTTTGATATGGACTTGGAGAACTAGACAGATATAAGAAAAGCGCCAGAGGGTCGAAGAGAGTAGAAATGTGGAGCAATCTTTCGCTTCATTATAAACTACTCGTTCGCACTACTTTTCCTCACAAAACCATAAAAAACAGATTCTCCGATCTTCCACACTCGCCTATAAATAATTATATTTGATTGCAAACATGGACAGATGCTGGGTCACGCCTCTATAATAAAAATCTGGCGAGAAAACTCGGCTTTTTAGGTCTCCCAAGTGAGGAAAGAGTTATCAACTTTATTAAAGCAGGAAAGTAAAAACTTAATTATGGCAATTATCTTTCTATAAGTTAAAATCAGAGTTTTCTATAGAGAATGATTAAATTTGCCACCACTTTCAAACGCAGTCTGACGCAAAACGACACAATTCGCTTGTCACGTCGTCGTTTCTTCTTTCTTTCGGCACGCGTTCTGCTTTTCCCGGCCGGCGTCCACCTGTCCTCGCAGAGAATAAATTATTATCCCGCACTGCACGATAAGTGGGCAGTCATGACGCTGAATTTGAGTGAATAAATGGCCAAGAATCGCGGTCATCAGGTCGGTAATCCACGCGATGCTAATTGCAGCACAAAACACGCGTCTCGGACGAACACATAATTAATAGTCTGCAGTTTACAATTTTATTGTCGATCTAGTTCACTAGACCATAAGTGATGTACCCGTGTATGGAAGGAAGACAAGGGCACGAAGCCTTATAAGAGGATTGATTCGATTTCAATCGGTTTATTTACCAGTCGACAATGAACTGTGGTTTTTCATTCATTCAATTTATTTAATTATTAACTCTAGTTTTTTTTTAAGAATTTTTTATGTTTAATTTAATTGCAATTTGGAACGACTTTATTTAAAATTGAAAATTGTTTCAAACAAACAATAATTCTTGAAATTGATATGATTTTTTGAGTGGATTGCTAAATTTATATTTAAAATTATATTAATATATTAATTAAACTGAATTGAAATTCCATCCATTGTATTTTGTAATTTTCAAATCATCACCGTTTTTTTCCCTCTAAATAAGCAAGATGAAATAAAATGAATTTGACGTCAGGCATCTAATTAGTTTTTAAAACAGTAATGCCTGATAAACCTGATTTTAACAAGCCAAACCTAGTCTTTCAAGAAACATGCCAAATTATTATGCAAATATAGTTTTCCTCAAACGAGCGCCCGTCGCAATAAAACCAAAACTCTCTGGAACAACCGGTGTTCTTTTTAAGAATGTTCCGCTATCACTATTAGCCCGTAGGAAAAAAAGTGTGCAGATTTCAAACGATCATAAACCTGCGGGGCCAATTTTATGGCTCAATAAGCAATCTAGTTTGGCAAATATTGAAGCGGATTCAAGACCTCTGATTATCTTGTGCAGGTGCTAGAATTTTCCATGTTTGCTAGTTCGTGTATATGAGTAAGTGAAACACATTTGTAAAGGCAACAACTACCACAAATAAAAAAAATAAGGACGGAATAAAACCTGTTATAAAAGTTTGAATAATATTCTGACAAGATCTGATCCTGAATGCGGTCAGACAAACGAAGCCCAGTGATGAAGTGAGTTTGTGCGAAATCCTTGATTTGTTGCCAAGTACATAAGCGTGACAGACACCCAATTTGGGTATTAATAATAATTACAATAGATCCGATAGATTATAAAACTAAGTAAAATTATTATAAAAAAGATATTTTTAATAACAATATTATCCTTTTAATTAATGTTTTATTTTAAGATGAATTTCGGAAAATTTATGAATTTTAATGCAATTATATAATTTATTAAAAATATTTTAATTTTAATTTTGTCAACGATTTAACTTTTAATTAAAAATGTAAGCAATTTTATGGGAAATAAACTAATATATAAATTCTGGTATGGTTCAGAGCTGCATAATCTTCTTTGCATACAAATTTCTCTAGGCTATTGTCGTCTTCGTCTTTAGTTTAATTATTCTTACCCACAATTGGCGAAACATACACGGTATTTAACAACAATTTCTGAAATTGTAAAAATAGTGCTATTTTTTTAAATTATGGTAAGCGAACTGCAAACTGCTCTGCAACAATCGTGCAGTTCATTTTCAATTTCAATAATAATTCACACTCGGTCTGCAAAGTTTCCCAATCGACTGGATCAGCGAACAATCGTTCCTGTCGAAAGTTCTTTTGAATAATCATCTAGGTTGCCGAGTGAACCGAGAATTCACGACTTCATCAATAAATATCAATACAAGGTGAGCGTTTAACACGGCTGGCGAGCGACGGAATAAAAAAATGCAAGCGGCGAAAAAGAGAAATTGATATCGCGAAAAAAGTGACTTGCAAATAATAACAAATTGATGGCTTCGAAAGAAAGCATTGTCATGCTAATAATTGGCAACAAAATAAGACAATGATTCAATTTGAGAAAAGTATGCATGTTTGGACAACAGTTGCCCATATTACGGTAAATTAGTTTTCCTTGCATGTGGTGCATGATGCGAGCATTTTTCTTGGATCACGGATGAGCCAACTTTTCAACTTGTGTGCTACACTTAATTTGCTCGGTATAGGCGAACAGTTATTAATTGAATCGTGTGTGTTATTCGCGCACATGCACCCAATTTATTCCTCGCGTGTCATGAGATAACTTTACTTTTACGGCTTTTCCGCAATCGGCCGCGGTTCCCCCTCGCTAAGCACCAATTGAGCCGAAATGAATTCGCAATAATTGACGGCCGCTGGACGCCAAGTTCGGTTCCCATGGATTTGATAATTTACATGATTTAAGCGCGATGGGTGTTGCAACAAGAAAGTTTGGAATGAAGTGGAGCGTTCGATTGTGTAAAAGCATAACTTTTGTAAAAATTGTG